AGATTCATTAATGGGGGAAATGTGGAACATACAAAACAATTAACAATTTCCTTCAGCAATTAAGGCCAAGATGCAACAACCGTGGTGCCATGGAAATTTGACAACTTAAATTTATAAACACTTAAATAATGATATTTTATTTAATATTTTCATTTTTGATCACATCATATTGTTTATTCATTTATCACTTTTCTTCTTTTTTATATATATCTCTCCAAGCAAGTGTCTATCAAACATTTTTCACAAATTTATCTTTCAAAATATCTTTACTTTACTCACTAAATTCACTGATGGGTGCAATATTTTCTTCATCTTTATTTCATTTGCAAACCAATGTGATATATTTATATAAAAGAAAAATTGTAGTTCTTGTGCTACGGACGTACTGTCCTGAGTGGTGGAGCAGTAGGACCAGACGATGTGAGCATATGCATAGTTGCTTCTGATCAGTGCACCCATTTGCACTTCAGAGTATAGATCGATTATGGAGCTCAATTGTTTTTGTTAAACATTTTAAAATTAATATCATATATCACAGTTATGTATATAATTGTTTTTGTTTGTCTTTCTCTTTATATATAATTATAGGCACACAACTCAAAAATATTTTTTTAAAATTTAAAAATAACATTTGGTTACCCATTTTAATGTTGTAAAAACATTTATAACTAGTACTAAAATTCCTCTTCCACTTTTTTTTTTTCATTTTTTATTTTCTTCTATTATAATATCACATGACATTTTGTATATTTTTATTGCTTAAATTTATTATTTTATTTTTTTAACAATTTTTGTTTATTACATGTATACGTTACTTGGTTTTTGCATTCTAACTTTTTCAAAATTTTTCTTATTTTTTTCATAAAAAGACTATGAAAATACAATAATTTTAAAACATTATAAACTTTTATTGTATATGTTAAATTAAGGAAATAAATATATAAATGAATTGAGATTAACATTAATTTAGTCTTTTAAATATTTAAGATATTCAAACATATATATAATTTTTGTTTGTAACTTATTCAATCCATTTTGAAGTACTCATTTGATATCATATATATTTTAATTCCAAAATTGATATCAAATAAAATTTTTAAATACTAAAATAATATTTTTGAAACTTTTAAAAATAACTTATATATTAGAATGTATTTTAAGATAACTAAAAAATATTTAATTTTAGAATTTAATTAAAATGCATTAATAGTATAATTTTTTATTATGTTATTCAATTATAAATTGTCATATTAGTAAAAGTTATTGAATTTTATAATAACCAATTTAAAAGTCATACAAAAATTTAGGATAACATTGTTAGCATACACTTTGTTTAACAAAATCAAGCTATTAATAAAGAAATTAAATCTATATATATTAATAGTATAGATGAATATTCTGAACTAATAAAACTATTAATATATTATATTATATTATTAATATAAATTCCAAATATTTATATTAATAATTTAATTTTTGTTAAAAAAAATTACACCCACAAAAGCTAATCTAGTATTAAATTATTAACAAATAATTTTTTTAGTATATATTAAAACTTGAAAAAAAGGGTTTTATCCTCATTGATAATTGTGCTGAGGTCAAGTCCAAGTAGGGTTGGTCAAAGGCAAAAACATCTTACACCTTACAAAAAATTAGTGAGGAAGCATGTGGATGCCAAAAACTGTTGTCATAGGCCATCCTTCTAAGAATTGTGCCATTCACTATTCATTGATCCCATGAGCCGTCAAAGAGGTAACCACAGCTGTCTCATCCAATAGTGTCATGTGCTATGGCACTAATATTAATGAAAATTGTATATATAATAATAATAATAATAATGAAAAAAATGTGTGATAAAAGCCATAAAGTAAAAGAGTGTAGTATTGAATTTGAATAGGACATTGTCATAAAGAAAAAACCTAAAGTGATATAATTATATCGGTTCAAAAGGCTTTTAAAAGTGAGGTACTTGGGTGTGTTTATGTGAGGCATCACCAGTGGAGCATGACACAGCCAAATTAGACAAAACAATGGGTAAAGATGATGCTATTGCTACTCCAGTCATGGTTCTTTTCATTGCTAGAATTTTGTAGTGTTTAATTTTAATAAATTATCAGGATAAAAATTTTATATTAGTAACTAATTAAAAACTACTCTTAAATAAATTTTTAATATATTTTATGAAAAATAATACTTTTTAGTAATATAATAATTCATTATTAAATTATAATATAAAAAATTTTGTGCTATGATATATTGTAATTGGATTTTGATATTATATTATTTTTAGTGTAACAGAGTTGATGGTCTTTGCAACAGAATCATGAACAGATCCAACATTTCTATACCCACTGTGCTCATACTCATCATAGAAAATCTACATGGTTCATGCTATGGAGTTAATCAATGTTGTTCCATTTGCGTATTGTGCCTGTAACTTTGCTACCTGCTCATGGTTCATGTTTATATATGTCTTAACTCAAAGTTCTGTTTGTAATGGTTTGCTGGGTCTTGGCCTTCTAAGACATTTTCATTTATCAATCTACATATAATATGAGAAAAAAAATTGTGAATATTAATAGTTTAGTCAAGGATTGAGAATAATGCATGGTTTAGTCAAGGATGATGCCATAAATACATTTAAATTTAAATAAATTACAAATAAATCCAGCTCTAGTTTTCATTCATTTAAGCTTAAACCTTAGGAAATTTATTTGATTTTCACCAACTTTGGAGAATTGAACCTCTAAGGTCTCATGGAAAACTTTAGAGGTTTGGATGAATGAATTCTAAATTACTAAATTATATGTATTTGGATAGTTTAAAAAAGTATTTATAATATACTTCAAAGTCTTAACTAGATAATTTTTATATCAAAGAGAATTTCCAATAACATGTCTTTAGAAATAATTCAAATACTCCACTATTTTGCTTAACTTTTTGTAATTATTATTTATAATTTATTTTTTTTATATTTTACTCTCACTTGTATCATCTTTTGTTGTTGAATTCATATTCTTCAGAAATCTAAAACTCTGCGTCATCCAAACACAAACTTAAAACTTAGGAAATTTATTTGATTTTCACCCATTTTGGAGAATTTGAACCTCTAAGGTCTCATTGAAAACCTTTATGTATCTGTTGGAAATAGAAACAACTGAATTGAAAGTTGGGCCATTGAATTTGGATACACTTTCTTCTCCGGATCCAGCAATTATATGCCCGAAACGTGAAAAATGCATAGCAAGTAACATCAACCAAATATAATATGAACACAAATTTGGTGATTAAACAAATCTGTCTTTTTATCTAATAGAAACACTTTGTCGTAGCCAACTTGCCCACAAGCCACATCCCTAATTGGATTGCTGCCATTTTAATAGTTCCTCTTTTTTCTACTCTTGGAATTTTTCTTTTTAATCCTCTTGGGCAATTAAGACTCTGTAAGTGGGAGTTGAAAGATAGAGCCACCATGATAACTATAAGTCTATGTGCATATAATAATAAAAAAAAAAAAAAAAATACTGCACTTAATCTAATTTATCATATAAAAATTTCCACTTTAAGCAAGGTTGTACATATATATCTAGCAAAAATGATAAGTTCCATCATCCATAACAAGTCACAACCTTGATCAGCTAGTGCTTTCTTTTCTCCTACATAAACATGAAGATTTTATATTTTCCTCTATGTTTGTTCTGCTTGTTGCTTGTCCTTTTTCTCCCCTCTACTTCAGCCAGGTAAACATACCTTAATTTTGCAACAAGGAGATAAGATTAACAATAACTTAGCTCTAACTGCTAACATTATTTTGAATTATTACCAAATTTAAATGGTTATGATATGTTTGGTTTCCTATGGTTGACAAATAATTTATTGAAATATTGGCAGGCGCATATTTCCTTCCCCTCCTCCACCACCTCAAGTATGTTGTCCTAAGACTAGAAGACTAGATGTTGATGCTAGTCCATGAAAAATCAATGCCAAACTCTATGAATTTAACATGAGAGGATTCATCATGCAACTTATATGTTTGATTCCTCCATAAATACCAGTACTTGTTTATGTAGATTGAGGATGAAGTTATGTTTGGAATTATTCACTAGCATACCCTCTATAATGCTATCCGTAATCAAACATGTAATGAATAACTCATAAAAAATCTGAACGTGGGAAATCCTCATCCTATGTGTTCTGTTACTTCTCTAATATTTGAGTGATAATCTAAAGTTTAGGATATTTATTTGGATTTAATTTCTTTTTCTTAAGAGTTATATAGGTATAATCTTCAAAACATAAAATAAAAATTGGAATGTCAATTTTGTGTACATACAATTTAATAACCATTTAGTTATACAAACACGTGGAGCCATAAGAAGAAGATGAAATTATAAGAGTAGAAAATAGCTAATATTCCGAAATTAAGCTACTGCATATAATTAGCCAAGGCAATTTCTACATGGAATTACTCAGAACCTTTCCTCTGTATTTTCCATGATCATCATGTGAACATGCAACAGATACTTCAAATATAGTTTGTATTTATAACATAGCTAGTCTTTTATCTCACAAACAGGATACATTTTAAGCTTAATAAGAGATAAAGGAAGTATTTATGATGTTAATATCCATAAATTCTTCCATTGCTTTTCGTTTTTGGAAGTTCTATTAAAATTTTAATTGATACCATATCTCTCAGTTTTTTTAACCGTTGGTAAAATATCTTATATTATGTCATTTTAAGTAAAGATACTCTCTAGATATCATAATTTTCTGGTATGCATTGAATAAAAAGAAGTAAATGTAAAGAAATAGACTTGATATTCCTTGGCTGAGACCTAAATTACGATTACGACTATCTGTGCTGTCTGCAAATGATAAAAAGCATTTGTAAATTATTGAGAAAAAATTTACAACCTGTTAAGCTCTTTGAATTGGGAGGAACTGCTAAAAGGCTTATAGATGATAACTATGATGACTTTCTTCAACCAAAGATAATTCAAAACATGATTTGCTTTTAATCTGATTATCAGTGCACCTTGACAATATGTAGTGCTTTTAGAAAATACAATTTTTTCTGTAGCCTGATAACTATTACTCAATTCACGTATAAATGTTCCAATCACTTTGAATCTAAAATATTTACTTAAAAGGGAAAAGAATGACCTCTCCTTACCAAAATTGATAAAACAAGGCATGGAAGCCTTATAATGCACATCTTCTTTTCAACAGAATAAAATTTCTAGCAATGAAAATAGTGTTTTCTTGTTGTCTTTGTCTTTTTCTTTTTTTATCCTCGTTCATAAGCCTTCTCCCAACTATCTACAACTTCAGAAAATTCTATTGCACCTAAGTTTCCCCCTTCATTTGAGCCACCTGCATGAGACTCAAACCTTGAGACAACACTATCTATCTTCAGTTTGCTTCCTAGAAACTTCAGTTTTAATAGCTGTAGACAACAAACTTGAACTCTATTCCTGGTCTAAGACATTCCAACGATTTAAAGAACCAATTATAGGTGCTTCTTTCTTCCTAACAGATGGTAGCAGATTAGCAGAACCACTTGACCATTCTTCATCACCCTGAGAATCTCCCTTCCAACTAGAGTCTTGAACCATAGCCTTTTTTGACGGGTTAACTTTCAGTGCCAGCAGTGCTCCTCCCCAGGCATTGGTAACTGAAGATGTCGCCGATGTCCCAACATCTGGGGCAAACAAAACAGCTCCCTGATAAACTGTTCCATGATCCAACCTCCTCATTGCAGTTGCAGCTCGGGCAGGATCATGAAAAACAGCCAAGGCATTCTTGTCATTCAACCAAACAAGCTCACACTCACCACCAAACCTCAACACCAAGGCTCGAATATCAGCATCACTTGGTAAGTCTGGAAATGAGACAACAAGCTGCGGGTCCATATCTACCAAAGGATCAAATGTAGGAGGAAGGGGAGCATTTAAAGTTGTGGTACCCTGAACCCCTATCACATGAGATGGGGCCTTTGATTTTGGGGTAACAGAGATAACGATAAATCGCTTTGGCTCCCAACCGGCAGATTTCACTGCAAGCTTCCATCTTTCAGCAATCAACCTCACTGCATCTCTTTTATCCTTTGGCATAGGACAAAAGACGTGGAATTTTAAACCATGTGTAGTTCCTCTGCTCTTGCCAAGCACTAAAATCTTGCATCTCTCCTCAACAGCTAAAACCCATTTTAGATCACGTCTAATAAAATCAAAAAGCAATTCATTAGCGGAGTTGTCACCAAAATGGAGGGAATCCAGACTTGAAGCAGTAATGTCAAAAGCATCAGCAATAACCCTTTTACGCTCCAACTTAGCACATTCATCATCACACATCAACTTTCTTTGTCCAAGGGGAACTTTTTGGCCATTTGCATCAACTGGATGAAGTGGCACAGGCAACTTTTGAATAATGGAAACTTCATGTATGGCATCGACAGTATAATTGTTATTGCTACCACCAGCATCACAAGGAACATTTGTTGTAATCCGGCCACAAGAACAAGTAATCATAACAGGGAATTCACATCTTGTATTTGGACATGGCGATGAAGGGTGACATGGAGCCATACACATATGCTGACAGCTTGTCCTTGGAGCACGACATGTTTGGCCACATGGTGCAAGGAAACCTTGTACAACACCAGATAAATTATCACATGGTGGGGGGTGACATATTCTGCCACATGCATGTAAACCACATTGTCTAGTCTTCCCACAAGGATTATTACATCTAATATCCTTAGAACCACAAGGTATGTTCCTGAGAACCACATGCCCACCGATACATTCTTTTGCTACGGGCACTGAACAAGGAGGGCAATCTCCAAAATGACAACTATGTGAGCCTGAATGTCCACATGGCTGAGGAACTGAACATGGAAGCTGACATGAGGGAAGTGGTGTACCACAAGGTAGAGGAGGAGGGATTGAAGTCCTTCCACAAGCACAAGTCAAATCAGTGAAGATTGTTTCAAGACAAGGTGGACAATGACCAGTGTGACACAAAGATTCACACATATGTTGGCCACATCTTAGCTTCTTTCCACATGGCATGGAACAAAAATGAGGATTCCAATCCCCATTAAAACTATTATTTGAATTTGAAAGTGGACAACACCTTTCACTGCATCGGTGCCTTCCACAATTCTTTTTTCTTCCACAAGGCTTTTCACATGTAAATTTTCCACTCTCCATTATAGTCTTATAGCACTCCACATTTCGAGAAGTAGACCCACATCGACACTTCTGTGAAACTAGAACCAAACAAGGTGGACATTCCCCAACGTGACAGGGCTCTTTACAATGATGCATCCCACAACAAAGGAGCTTGCCACAGACTTGAGAGCATGTAGGTACTGAATCCAAACAACTCCAACGTTCATTCTCCAACCTTTTTTTCCCACAACAACATGTTTTAACCTGGCTTGGTAAAAATGCACATTCCCCACAACTTCCTGGATGGCAAATTTCACTACAGATATGATTACCGCAGCTAAGTTTCTTTCCACAATTGGAACCACAAGAAAATACACCATCTTCCGCTTCAATTTCACCCTTTACAGCCATATCACCACAAGGAATAACCTCCATCATTTTACTGCAAAAGCAAGAGGCATTGACTAGAACCTGACAAGGATCACAAGGACCCACATGACAAATGTGTTCACAGTGATGACGCCCACATTCAAGAAGCATATCACAACATTGACCACAAGTAAGAACAGACTGCAGATCAGAGCAACGGGTGGTAACCATTTTCTTCCCACAAGGGCACAAACGTGGAGGGGCAAATGCTTTACAATGAGGGCATGGACCCGGATGGCATTGCAAGACACAAACATGGGGGCAAAGATCATCCTTATTCCCTTCAGCAACCAGCAACTTTCTCTCAAGAGACTTCCCACACGGTTCTCCACATGAATGGGGAGTCAAATATAAATCAGATGGAGGGTCTATCCTCTTTCCACAAAAACAAAGATACCTAATCTCCTTTGAGGACATAAGCTGCACAGACTGACAACCAGGACACCGCCAATTAAACCCTTGATTCTTCTCCGCAGACAAATCAACCGAGGTGGGCGTCCGAGCCCATTTTTTGATGCAGTTCAAGTGAAAGATAGAGTAGCAGCTGGAGCAAGACCAAACTGGTGCCGACCTCCGGACCATGTCATAGCAAATCATGCATTCCACAGTACCTTTCATAAGCTTCTCCTGAATCTCTTGCACCAATTGAGGCAAACTAGAGTCTCTAAATTCCAACCCCTTCCCCTCGTGATTCTCACTCCTCCCTTTATCCCTTTCCATACTATGATTCCCATGATTGCTCCTATGGGGAGTCACCCGCGAAGCAACGGCCACCCCATGATTGGAAGAACTTGCATCAACATTAGCATTGTGATTTAAATGCAAATTTGATGGCTGTAAAACAGTAGTGGATGCTGCACTCCCTCTAGGAACCCATTCTTGACGAGTAGCACCTTGTGATGGAACCCTTAACCAATCCCTTCTCGCTCTCCGATGTTGCAAGCTCATACCTTTACGATCTTCCTAACACACCCAAAATCTAAACTAAAACTATAGCAAGCTCAATTCAACCACACACACCAAACCAAACCACAATATCCACCTGGCCCCCAATTCTTCTCAAACTGAGACACTTGTTAAATACCTCAAAACAAAATATAAAATATAATCAATACCAAGAATTGCAAACTGTTGCAGCTTGATTAGAATTTCAATTGATAAAAAACAACTGAGAACTATAACGAGGCTTATTTAATTATTTCTATTTTATTTGATGAATAACAACAAACAATTAGAGGAAAAAGCAAAGAAGAGAAACAATGGTACCTGAAGGCGAAGGAAAGACCATTGAGAAATTTCGATGATTCGTTTGTTGTTATTGTTCCGTCTGAATTTTGATTTTTAAGATTTCTTTTATGGACAAACCTGTGTCTGGTATTTATAAGTTTTCTAGAGTCAGTTTTTTTTAATTTTTTGGTCAAACTGGACTCAGTTTGATGAGGGAAAAAATAAAACAAATTAGATTTTTATAGTGGTCTCCAATTTAGGCCCAGTGAACAAACCCATATTTTAAAGATTGTTGGGCCTTGCGGAGTTGAAGGAATAAATGGCTTTTTGAAGTAAGAAGCCTAGACAAAAAAAGAAAAGAAAAAGAAAGTTGCATATATGAACGTGCATCTTATAGCTAGCATCTTTAGTGGATTTCTTTTTCCAATCTAACATCAAACCTCATTTTGGGTTTTTGGTCAAAAGGGTAATGTTCTTGAGACTGCCACAAAAAATTTCATGAAGGTGCCCAACAGTTTCTGAGGGCATGGTGTTGATAATAGCTTTGGATCAACATTTGGACATCATAGTTTTTGAAAATGATGGCATACCCATATTCCAGTAGTGCTGGGCTGGCCCCGACAAACTAGCCCATCTCATTTCAGGTCCATTTTAGCTTTTGACTCTTTAATCTTTTCAAATTATATTCCCTCCTTAAAAAAAGAAAAAAAAAAACTCTTGAAACAATCCTTACTACAACTTACTTATAATGTGAGGAATATCTAGACATGTACATATTACATGATTTCATATCTTAGAATGATTCCTTAAATAATATGGTTAGATTTATATGATCACAGAGCAGGAACATAATTTTAAAAAAATTGAATAATCAAAAATAAATTTATTTATATTTATAAAAACTAAAAATATATTTAAATAAAAAATATAAATCAATATATTAAAAGTAAATTAGAAATATCACCAAATACATGAATCAATTGACAGGAAAATGTTTTAACATTGAGAGAAAAACTTTGCCACTCATAATGGTCTTATCCTACTCAAACAAGAGTGTTTTTAGTGGAAGATATGTATAAAAAAATTAGAGATAAACTTTTTGTGGCTGTGTTGAATACATGACAATTTGTTGACATTGTGTGATCATGTAATTAACCTTCTCTAACGTAAATTTGCAGTCATTGCAATTTGTAATGCCATTTTTCCTTTGGCTCAGCTCGAATTGATCAGATTCCTTTCTCTCTTTGTTCTGAAATAAAACATGAAAGCAGACTAAGAAGGGAGAAGGCGAAACTCTACAAATTTTGATGATCAAAAGCAACGATTTTGTGGTCCCATTTGAATAAATTTGTATATGGATGGTATTGGGCAAATAGAACGAGACAGGAAGAATATGAAGCATATTTGATTGATTTAATCACATGTAATCTGACAAAAAATAATATAATAAGATGAAGTAAAGATATCCTAAAGAAAGATGGTGATTTTGTTTGGACTTTTGCAATGAAGACAATTTAATGGAGATGCATCGAATGCCAGGATCCGAAGCAGCTGTCACATATTCATCAATGGACAAAATTTAGGTGCACATTCTATGGTGCTGTACTCAAATAAAAATTTTAGTTTTGTTTTGGCAATTTCATTTTTAATGTTAGTATACCCAAGTTTATCAGGTGTATTGTTAAAATAAAATTTTAATTTTAATAACAAATAGTATTAACGATATCTTTGGTATAGTATTTGTGTTTTGTTTTTTATGAATTACTTTAAGTCGAGTGTTAAAACATATTATCTAATTATAAAAACAAAAAAAAATTCATTTGAATTTTATGATTTTTAATAAACTTTATTTAATAATAAGAGAGTGTTAAAGTAAATGTTAAAAAGTTCGTTTTTAACATTTGTGAGATGTTAAAATGTTATACTACAAGTCGAGATGTTACTTAAACCAAACTTCACCCTGAGATCATTTGTGAGCAAGCTATTATGGGCTATTCATCAGAGAAGAGTGTGAATACGTTCAGGGTCTTTCCAACGCTATATTACCTTAAACACTTGCTGAGGAGATGGATATTGCATGGACCCAATCACCTTGTAAGTAGACTTTAAAGAAAAATGGTCATCATTTGATAGATTCCAAATCACTCAGTCCTTTTTAACTTGAATTTAAAGAGTTACCCTTAAAACACACCCAAGAACTTCACTAGGGAGGCAACTCTATAAATGATCCAGCTCCCATTTGCCTTACGCATTCACATAGTCTCACACTTTCTTTGATAATTCTCCAGTTAAAATAAAAGATATTGTTGTCTAGATCAGTGGTTTTGACCTTAGCATCCATCTGTCAAACCAGAAGTTCACATTAGCTCCATCACCAACTATCCATCTAATATGAGGTTTCACCATATACTAAGCCTTGCATATTCCCCGCCAAAGATTAGACATCTTTTGTCTTTTCTCCACTTGGGGAATAAGGTCTTCAAGACACCCATATTTGGATAAGAGTACCTAAACCCAATGCTTATCCCTATCAGCAATCAAACTCCAGCAATTCTTCATCATGAAGGCCATATTCACATCATGCATACTCCTAAGCCCAAGTCTACCTTGAGTTTTGGGTTGACAAATCACCAACCATCCCATCGTATGAATCTTTCGACTTTATGAATTATCTCCCCATAAGAATTGCTTGCATTTCTTGTCAATCTCATCACATATGCTACGTGGTAACCTAACTGCTTGCAAGGTGTACGATGGAAGAGCATCAAAAACCGATTTGGTTAAAGTCAACCTACCAGCAAAAGAAGGTTCTTAACTTTCCACTTGCTAAGTATTTGATTGACCTTGTCAATAATTCCACGGTAAGTTTCTTGGTGCACTCTTGAATGATGCAAAGGAATACCTAGATACTTACCTAGATTGTTAGCTGTTTGAAAATCAAATGATGAGCCAATTTCATTTCTCACATTTCTAGCCATATTTTTGGAGAAGAAGATTCTTATTTTATCCTGACTAATCTTTTGGCCTGAGCTATTACAAAAAAGACTCAAACAGAGTTGTATAACTTCAACTTGATCCATGCTAGCCTCCGCGAACAAAAACTAATCATCCGCAAAAGCCAAGTGAGATAATGTAGGTCCTCCACAAGATCATCGAATAGGCTTCCACAATTTGAGTTACGGAGATTTCAATAAGATGAAATAGCCTTTCCATGCACAACATAAACAAATATAAAGATATAGGTTCCCCTTGCCTCACCCCACGAGAAGGAGAAAAGGACTCTAACACCTCTCCATTCCAGAGCATTTGTAACCTCGTAACCTGGTTGAAGATATATAGCTCCATATAAATTCAATGGTTTTTTGTGACAAACCAATATCTTCCAATGTCTCCTTGATAAATACCCAATTTAATCTATCATATGATTTTTCAAGATCTATCTCGATAGCCATCCAACCAACCTTTCCAGTTTTAGACTTCATAGAATGGATGACTTCTTGAGCCATGATGATATTATCCTTGTTCTGATGGGGAACAAAACTGCATTGATTTGGATGAATCAGCTTGTCCATGAAACTCCTAATTTGGAGAGCCAACATCTTGGTTATGATTTTGTAGGAAACATTACATAAACCAATAAGACACATATGTTTAAGTTGAGTTACCTGATCCATTTTGGGAATTAGCGTGATAAAAGTTTCATTGATTTCAGAAATCTTATGTGGATGAGCGACAATATCCCAGATAAAATTACATAACTCTGGTCCCACACAATTCTACTGGGATTGATAAAATATGGCCTGAAGGCCATCCGAGCCTAGAGCTTTAAACTCACTCATACTCTTAACAATGACTAATATTTCCTCATTGTTTATCTCCCTATCAAGATCCTCAATTTCAGTACTTGAGAGAGAGGGAAACATATTAGTAATACAAAAGGGAACATGACTTCCAGTTTCATGGAAAAGATCTTCATAGAACCTAGTGACCAATGATTCCAACTCCTGCTGGTTGTTGATCAACTCTCCATCCTCGTTCAATAGTCTTGTTATTCAATTTTTCCTACGACGAATTATCGTCGAGCCATGGAAAAATTGAGTATTACGATCCCCTATAGTCAGCCACTTGCATCGAGATTTTTGAAACCAAATGACCTCATCTCAGCTATAGAATTGTATCCAACTCCTACCATAGTTCAGTTTGTAGCTGGTCCAAGAACCTATTAGGACTAGAATATAATTTTTGTGAAATACCGTGCAAACGACGAAGAAGTCTTCTCTTTTGTTAAAATACATTACCAAACATAAATTTGTTCTATTCTAAAAAATTTGCCTAAACATGCTTAACCCCTTGAAGTGTATTTATAAAAAATTTTCAAACAAAAAATAATCGATATTTATTCTCAAAATAAGTGTATTTATTAATATTTATTGAGATTTTTTTAAAATATTCAATCTCTATTAGATAAACATTAAATTTAAAATAAAATTTAATTTATATTTGAACATATTCAATCATCAATCAATTCTAATTTGCCATATACATTTTAGAATAGAAAGAAACATCTTATAAATCTCCCTTATAAAAAGGATTTTAGGAAAAAATAAATTCTCACAAAAGTCAAACCAATTCAAATAAATAAAAAACTATTTCAATATTATTAAAAAAAGTTTTTTAAGCTTTCATAATAATTGAGACAGATGCTTTGAACAAAGGATATGGTGGTATTTTAAAACAAAGAAACAATTCATAAGAGCATATTATTGTATACATATAAACATTGAAATTTTGCAAAACAAAATTATTCTATTATGAAAAAAGAAGTTTTGATAATTGTTTTATGTGTTTTAAAATATCAATATAATTTACTCAATCAAAAGTTTTTTATTAGAGTTTATTACAATTAACAAAAGAAATTTTAAAAAAATATAAAAAAATATTTCATTAAAACAGATTTTTGCTTAATGGTAAATAATTTTAAGTATTTTTAATTTTAAAATTAAATATCTTAAAGGCACTTCTAACTCTCTTCCTGATTATTTCATCTCCTAAATATTTATAGGAAATGTAGAATGCTTAAAAAAATAATTTTTATCCCTCTTGGGGAGGCAAAATTAAAGAATTCAAAATAGCTCTAACTCTTCCAAGTCTAACAACATCAAGATCGGAGTCATCTATCAATAAATTAATCCAACAAGTAGAGTCATTAATTTAGCGTGCTGAGATTCCTTTAAAAGTTTGTCATCCACTTAGAAAATAGTTTCAACAGAGTCATAGATTCATCCTGATAATTTTAAACAATCTAAAGCTGATCATGTTTCTCCAATTGAAACTTTAATGGCTCTACAAGAAGGAGGCCTTACACATCTCCCAAAGAAAATTTGGACAAACGTTATATCTGAATCAAATGAAAATTTCGGACCAGACATAATTAACCTTAACTCCCTCATTCAAACAATGAAAGAGTATAAAATAGTTTACAATATGTTAAAAGAGAAATATATTTCTTTTCAAAGCTCGTGATAAGTGGACGAAGGAAAATAAAAAAGCTAGAACGACGATAGCACGAACAAAACTAGCTAGAGGGAGAAAAGGGAAAATACAGAAAAAAAAAAAGAAGATTTCATTCAATGATAATTTTGGTCCTTATAATGTTATATAAAAAAAAAATTAGAATATATTAAAATAAGTTTATAAAATTATCTTATTTTGTTGATAGTTGTGAAACAAAATCCTAGCAAAAATACTTTTAAAATAGCTTTGTAGAAATTTATATATTAAAAATTTAAGTTCCATTTGAATGATTAAAAAAAAATTTACTTTTTAAAATATAATAAGTTTGATTTTTTTTTTTAAAAAAACTGTTTCTCTTTTGATATATTGCAAATTGTTTTATACGTATAAAAATTTGAATATTTTCAAAAGAAATTTTTTTTAAAACGATATAAAAGAAATAGAAAAAATTTTGTTTACAATATATAAGATGGGTTGGATACATGTAGTGTGGAATTGGGCATCAACAAGCTGAGGACCACACTCCTTTCATTATTATCATCACATCACATTAATCGGTTGTTATTGTCCAATTCCTCTGCCTAATTTATCTGCATCCTACCAACAAGGGAATCCATTCATGCTCGTAACTTCGAATAATCAAATGAACACCTTTTCATCTTTTATACTTTATCCTAATATCAATATCTTATCAACTTTGATCACTTTTATGTTATTTATTCTTCACTCATCAACTATATATAAAATATTGTCAGTTTTCTTCCATTTTCTTTCTCAGATTTTTTTAACAAAATTAATGGTTCACATTTTTTTGTTAGGTTTATGTTATGTCTGAAAAAAATTAGGTCAACGAATTTTTTATTAGAATAATTATAGGTTAAAATTTATGATCTATTATAAATGAAAATGCATTAAGTTATAATTAATAATAATAATAATTTTTTATGATTAAATTTGAGATAAAATATGTGAACATATATTATAAAATATAAAATTATATAATGATAATAACAGAATTTTTAATCTTTAAAATTTTTAAAATGATATGATAGTCTCTTATTTTTATATTTACTGTATATTTAAATTTCTAGACTCGGACGTTAATTGACAGTAAAATAATGTTAACACATAATATTAAATGACATTTATAATTGATTGTATAGTAAAAAAGATGTTATATAAATATAAAGACTTAAATATTTGTGAAGATGGAAGTCAAAAATTAATGTGATATTTTAAAAATTTTAAGGATTAAAATGTGTGATATTTTTCGTTAAAAGGACTAAATTAAGGGTTTAGTTAAAAAAAAGGAAAGAAATTATAATTTTATATTATAAATGCATTTAGATAATTTTTTTATTGAAATATTTATTAATATTTTTAAATAATTATTTATATTATATATTTAACAATAAAACTTATTAAAATTAACTAAAAAATAATTCATAAAAATCATACACTATTTTTTATAAATTATTTTAAGCAAGTTCTACATAACCTAACATGTTCAACCTGAGCGAATTAATCTGATAATGATGTTTAATTACTTGCATTGATATTGAGTTATCTAAACAATTATTTTTTGAAGTAGTATTATCATTTTGCTATTTCATTTTTTATATTTTTATACTTTATTTGAGAGTTTGAAAATAAAAAAAATAAAAAAGAGGAAAGGAAAAAATGTTAATACATAATTCTTAAAATTAAATAAACTTAAAAATATTAAATTAAAATAATTTTGTAGAATCTATAAACATTCTTTTCTCATTTAAAAGTTTTAATTATAAATAAATATAACATATATTTTTATTTTTATTTTGCTAGAATATAAATTTTTCTTTTAATTCTTCTCATTTAAAACCTCTAAATTGAAAATTGTAATGCATTTGCTATATATATAAAATAACTCATTTATTGTTTTTTTTTTCATTAATTTCGTACGCTGTACACTTTTAAATATGCATGTGGGGTTCGGTTAGTGTAGTTCTCGAAGTTAGTTCTACGGAAACCTGTTTATACACAATAAATCTCTAAATTAATCTTTCGAATTGGTATGAAATTACCATTTATTTATTGAATTAAAAATAATGATTCGTTCTTAATTTTATAAGATAATAAAGAAAATATTCAGAAACTTTAAAATTAATAAAAAATTAAAAGTTAGAAAGTTAAAATTGAATTAATATATTTTTAAAAACTAATTAAAGAATTCATTCCCTTTATACATTATAGAAAAAATATCATAGTTTTGCCATATTTTATTTTTTAATATTAAAAATGCTAAAATTTACTACACATAAAACATGACCAATTAAAAAAAGTTAGTCATATGAACTAACATATTTCAAATTTAAAATATGAGTATTTTCTCTTCTAAATTAATATCCTCGTCTTTTCTTTAGGAGTTTTTTTTTTTTTCTTGTCCTTAATATTTTGTATAAATTTTTATGTTAAACTTTTCACTATTTTCTCCAAAATCTCTCATTGTATATTGAAATATTAGTCTTCTGGAGAATTTAATGTACCCAGAAAAAAAAAAACCAATAAAAGTGACCATCTGAGAAAACATTGAGAACTTTAATAATGCTTAAGCATTGTTTTATTCTTGAAGGAAACCATCGACAGACAACACGACCAAATAAATAATACATGTCAATAGTAGTATAAACGAGTAAAGTTAAATTTAAAACTTGAGCTTAGCTTAATTAACAAATTTAAAACTTAAACTTGACTCGTTAACTTGTTAAATTTTTTTAATAAATTTTAAATAATTTTTTTATTAATTTAGAGTTTAATAAATATTTTAATGTTAAAAAGTAAAATAAAATAATAATAAAATATAATGATATTTTTAAATATTCTTGAAAATTAAAACTAAATAATAGTATACATAATAATTATAATAATAAATTATATAAATAAATAAATAAAATATTTATGAGCTATTAATGTCAATAAATAAATCTAGCTTTAACTTACTTATTATTTTATATTTTATCATTGTTTAAAATATATCTTATTTTAAAGTAATAAAATCCAACACTCCCTACTTTTGGGTCAGTGCATGTCATCTTCCAATACCATCCACAAATTTTATATTTTTGAAATCTGTTGCCTCTTGAATTGCATTTAATCATATATATATATATATATATATATATATATATATATAATTAATAAAGTTATATATAAAAATATAAAATTAAACTGATCTCATTAATAAAATAAAACTTTACTATTATTCTTTTTATGGGCAAAACTTAAAACATCACTATTTTCATTCTAGAATGAAAATTCAACTCATCTAGAAGAAAAATGAGTCCAAGCACGTCTGCGTAGTGTGCAAATTTGTAGTATTCACACAAGAGAATCACTTATAAAAGGGATATAAGACCAAACACCGTTTTTCATTCACCCTATAAAGAGCTAGAGCTTGCACTTGGGGTTGTCTACCATCATCTTTGTATTGTGTTTTACTTCAGCAAAACTAGTCATGTCCTTGCTCTCAGATCTCATCAACCTCAATCTTTCAGAATCCACTGAGAAGATTATTGCTGAGTACATATGGTGAGCTCTCAAAAATCTCACACAAACCTTATGGAAGAAACAGGGGACTCTGTTTTTCTCCCTGTTAATGAAATCTTTGACCAAAGAATTATAACTTATTACTTTATTGATGTAATCTCTTTGTGGATATACTTTTTTTTTTATTTCTGATTCTGGGTATATTTTATTTTGAGTGATTCTTTTGGAACTTTACTTCCTTTGTTCCATCTTCCTCCTTTTAGCGCTTTGGCTGTTTGGCGGATCAAACATATAATAAGCAAATATTTTTTTTTAAATTTTTTTTATGGATGATTTTATAATCATGTTGTTGGGCTTGATCTAGTTCCTGAAAATCTAAGGGAATTTTATTTAATAATTTTTTATGTACTGATTAACAGGGTTGGTGGATCTGGTATGGACATCAGAAGCAAAGCCAGGGTAATTGTTTTTTGTTCATCACAATTGGTAATAAAATAATGAACTTTTTCATGTTCACTATTTTAACCTTTTTCTTTTTGTGATTTTAAACAAACAGACACTTCCTGAACCAGTGAATGACCCTTCAAAACTTCCAAAGTGGAACTATGATGGGTCTAGCACAAATCAAGCTCCTGGGGATGACAGTGAAGTCATCCTATAGTATGATCCAATTCCCTTGCTGTTCTTTGCCTTTTCAATATTTTTTTCATAAAACTGATATATATATTTTTAATTTATTTGATAAAAGCCCACAAGCAATTTTCAAGGACCCATTTAGGAGAGGAAATAATATTCTTGTAAGTTTTTCAATTTAAATAAGTGGCTTCCAATTAATGTGTCTCATTCAGTCTTAGTTCATGAAAATGTGTATACTGTTGTGGCTCAAGTGTCCACTTTCTATTCTCTAGGTGATTTGTGATGTTTACACTCCTGCTGGTGAGCCACTTCCAACAAACAAGAGGCATGATGCTGCCAAAATTTTCAGTGACCCTGATGTTGTTGCTGAGGAACCATGGTGTGTATATTTTCAACCATGCTTCCAATTTCTACAAACCCTTAATAAAAATCACTTCTTGTGTTATGCTTTATGAAATCGTTATTATGACATGATCAGATTTACTCTTTCCTGAATTTATTAACAGGTATGGTATTGAGCAAGAGTATACCTTGTTGCAGAAAGATGTAAATTGGCCACTTGGGTGGCCAATTGGGGGATTTCCTGGACCACAGGTCTGAAATGTTACACGTTTTTCCCTGTCATCTACTTATATTTATTATTATTATTATTAGAGTCTTATTATAATAAATCAATTTTTTTTACTATGAACGAACAATGTGATCAAGAATACACGTTAAAAAGGTTAAAAGTGTAACTTTTTTTTATAAAAAATGAAAAATATTTATTATTTCAAAATGATAAAATCATTTAATATATACCTTTTGTAGTAATTTAAAACATTTAATAAGATATATTTAATGTTCCTGCGTACGTAGATCTACATTAACAAATAGTATTATAAATATATCAAAGTTACAAATAAAAAATCTATTTTTTATTTTTTAACCATAAAATAGTATTTATATTTTTTTATAAATAAATGATATATTTTTAAAATATAAGAAACATAAATTAATTTTCAAATGCATTAATTATTATAGTTTTTATACATTTATTTATTTGAAATTTGTATTATCAAAATATTCATTTTGTACTTATATAAGTGGATATATTTATTTATTTAATAGATAAAATATTAATTAATAGAATAAATATTTTTAAAATAAGAAATTATAATATATAAATATTTTTATTAATTTCAATAAATTAAATATTTATTTTTTATTAAATGGATTGGAGCAAGTATACTAATTATTATCATCCATCTTATTATTATTATTAAAAGTAGGAATTCCCTTTGTGTTTTTCTTGTTTTTGATTTGTCTGAATCCTCAAATGCTTCTGGATTTTCACAGTAGACATCACATGTTAACATTGTGTCTATCCTAAATTTGATTGTCTTATATTGCATTAACTGAAAAGGAGTTATTTATGTCTTGTACGTCTTTCTCCTATGGTTCCAATTACTATTTTGCCAACAAAGTGGGTTTACCAGTTACGTAAAGGTTGTGAGGCTCTTTAATTCATACCTTCCACCAAAGACAAAGTCCAAAACCATCTTTGACTTAGTAAATAGTTATTATCTAAGATTTATTGAAAATTAGTGAAAATAATTGAGAGAGTTTTCTTGAAATTTTGGTAACCAGCTGTTTAATTTTTATGTTTCTTTGCAAACAAGTGTGTATTGATTTGTGGGCATTTTTTTTTCACTTATAATTATAAATATGTGACCTTAGTTTTACTTTATTTTTTAAGAATTAGTTTAATAAGGGTAAAATTAATTTTAATAAATAACTTGACATGCAATTTCAGCACTCATGTTCCTATTTTTCCTCATAGCTATTTTAATAATAAAAATAAATAAATATTTGTTGGAGCAGGGTCCATACTACTGTGGGATTGGTGCTGATAAGGCCTATGGTCGTGATATTGTGGATGCACATTACAAAGCTTGTCTTTATGCTGGCATTAACATAAGTGGCATCAATGGAGAGGTCATGCCTGGCCAGGTATTAAATAACATTTAATCATGAGAACCATTAGAAACATTTTTTTTAATATTATTTATTTATTTATTAAATTTTATTAAACGCTATAAATATTAAAAAAAGTAAGAAATAGTCAGATTCATATAATTTTGTATTGTAATTTTTAATAAAATTTACTTAATATTTCTTCTAATATAATTATTAATATTTTTAATTATAAAAAATAAATTTAACCGTATAATATCATGAACTTTTTTAAATGCAATATAAATATATAGTATATGATTTTTTTTATTGATGTCGATGTATTAATTATTTATTTTTATAGTGGGAATTTCAAGTTGGCCCTTCTGTTGGTATCTCTGCTGGAGATGAGGTCTGGGCTGCCCGCTACATTTTGGAGGTAATTTTAAATTCCATTCATTGTTTTATTTTGAAGGTTTATTCACATATAATAAGAATTAATTAGTGAAAGTCATTAAAAATATAAATATTGATGAAAAATGTGTATATTACAGAGGATTACTGAGATAGCTGGAGCAATTGTTTCTTTTGATCCCAAGCCTATTCCGGTTAGAAGTCTTTCACAATTCTTCAATTTGTTGAAAACAGTTGTCTTACTATTATTATTATTTGTTTCACTACTTTGATTTTAATGGTTACATTGTTGCCATTAGGGAGATTGGAATGGAGCTGGTGCTCACACAAACTATAGGTAATATTGAGTTTTTGGGATTATTAATTCTTTGAAATGTTCTAATTTTCTGAGACTTGCAATGGTGATTTCAGCACCAAGTCCATGAGAGATGAGGGAGGTTATGAGATCATCAAAAAGGCCATTGAAAAGCTTGGATTGAGGCATAAGGATCACATTGCTGCCTATGGAAAAGGCAATGAGAGACGCCTCACTGGAAGACATGAAACAGCAGACATCAACACTTTCTCTTGGGTAAGAAGGGCCAAGGCTAACCATAAATGTTACATTCTTTCTTAATAACAATTTTCAAATATTTTAACTCAATTCAAATAGCTCAAGTTAACAAAATCATTAAAGTAATGGAAGAGCATCTTGGTATTGATTTTAAGGATTACGTTTAGGAATATATTGATGACTAGGATTATGTTTTGTTGTCTTGTTATTTGTCCAGGGTGTGGCAAACCGTGGAAGCTCCATTAGAGTTGGAAGGGACACAGAGAAAAATGGCAAAGGTTACTTTGAGGACAGAAGGCCTGCTTCTAATATGGATCCCTATGTGGTCACCTCCATGATTGCAGAGACTACCATCCTCTGGAAACCATGAAGTCACAGCCATTAAATTCTGTGTTGAATGACATTTATCTTCAAGGTGGTGTTTTTGTTGGTAATTGCCAAGTGGTCTTTTAAGCTCTATGTGGGATTTTATCATTAATAATCATAATAATTGCTTCTTGATTTCACTCTTAATTTAGATTTAAGAATCAACAGTGTAATCATGTAATGATTAATGATTAATAAACTCTTTTAAATGATGGTCCATGGACCACGGTGAAGGGAAATTCATTATAGATTTGGAGTCTAAAATGGATGAACGTGTTGCATAGACTTGGAAAAAAAAGCTGCACAAAATATCATGTTTTATCCTTTTGCGTAAGAAGTGATCTTAGATTCCACGATTGAAGAATTGGAGACTGTTGACTGATTTTTAATTTATGCATAAAAATTGGCAGTATTCACAACGAGAGAGGTGGAACCATCATGTGATGATATAAATCATTGAAGTGATAAGTCTCTGTCACATATCTGATTTTGGGCATGTGGGCACGATGGCTGCCAAATTAACATGTCTTTGTCTATTAGTGTCCTTCTACGCGGGGAATGAATTTAGTGAGAAATATATTTTCTCTTATAAATAATTAAAATTAAGATATGTAAATGATATGATTTTTATTAAAAAAAATTGTGTATTTATTTTAAGTGATTATTTTATAATTTTAATTATTTGGGTATAGTAATTCATACTACAAATTTTTTAACTCGTATAAAATGACCCATGTCAATATATATATGATTGGCACAATGCGATAAGACATGCTAAGGGCATTTTGTAGGCATGATGGACACGCCCCAAGAATTGTAGCTATGTCTTCTTTTTCCACGTGAAGGTTACCTGAGAAACACGTCTTCTCATAGATTGTAAAAGGGTGAAAAAGGGTGTAAAGTCCTTTTTCATGCAACCATGACAATGAAATTCACCATGGGACATGAGAGAGTCTCATGGATCATGGATGATGACTCCAAAATATATATTCATTCTTCAATTTCTCTTCTTAATCATGGTGCGTCTTGAATTTTGGTTCGGAAGATTATTTTAGTTCAAGTAACTACTAATATTATTATATCTCAAATGTAATGTTTTTAAAATTGTGCTCGCTTAAATATATATATATATATATATATATATATATATATTTATTAGATTTAATCTAAATTTAATTTGAGTTACGCATCTAAATGTAGTGGATGAGTCTATTATTAATTTTTTTTATATACATAAAAATTTGAATTTGAAATTTTACTTAAACAATTCAGAATTAATAAAAAAAATTTAAATCTAAGTATAAATTTTTTTAAACTTATCTTAATGTAAAAGATTTTGTTCTCAACAAAGATAAATAAAAACTTGTTATACATGAATAAAAAACTACGCAATAAAATATATTTAAAATATATTGTTATTGCACTTTCCTACTTTATTAGAAAAAAGTTTAACTAGATTTTCAAAATAAAAAAATCACTAAATTCAAGCCAATTGATTCTAACTCTTGCTAGTAGAATTGAGTTTAGGGTTATTTTAGCCTAAATTATACTTAGGCCTTGATTTTTAGGCTGATTGAGAACATAGGTAATTGATGAAAACAAAAACAAATGTAATTTAATTTAATAAAAATTTAGTCTTATTTTTGGATTAGAAGAGTTTTACAACATTCAAAATGTAATGTGATTTATTAATTTTTAAATCGATGTGCTAATCAACACTCTAACCATTTTAATGAAAAATAAAAACAAGATAACATCAATCTTATATTATTAGATTTTAAATAAAGTAAATTCTATGGTGTTCAGTAAAATAATGTGTATTTTATATTTTTTTTATATGTAAAACAATTATAACAGTTAATTTTATATCAATATATAATAATGTCAATAATTTATTTTAAAAAAACATGAATACTCTTCAACAATTTTTAAGATATTGGAATTTCTAAAGTTTAGAGACACCATATCAAACACTTTTTAATAATATACTCATAAAATGACATGAGTAGATATATATAATTTGGTAGCAATAGAGTATATATTTGTTTTTAAGAAATTACATGGTTTACAACACACTTTTATATCCTAAATTGATTTACGAAATTTTATTTTTTATTTAATGACTCTACATATTTGTACTACACGATGGGAATTTTTTTGTTCTTCACAAGTCAATTGATAACCTATAAATTTAGCTCATGCTGATGAATAACCTGCAAATTGTGTTTAACTTTTTGTATGTTGAGCTTATTATAGGGATATTTATGACATTGTTTTACTCAGCCGAATTATGCATTAAAAATGTATGGGGTGTTATTATTTTATGGATTATTTTATTGGACATCCTTGAATATATAATATGAAAGCATTAAATGAGTCTATGAGTGCTAAAATGAAAACAAATATCATAACTTCGTATGTATGTGCTTAGATTCGGCAACAATGATCACATAGAAAATGAAGACAAAAAATAATAATAAAAAAATAGGGAATGCCTTTAGATTAAAATTTTTTAATTTGAGGATAACTTTTGTTAGAGAATTTTAAAGTATAAGAAAGAGTTTTTTCCCCCTTTATCCAAACAAAATAGACATTAATATAGCTAAATATAACAATGACTCAAGATCAACAATATCTTTCTGAAGTTTGTAACTATCCTTAGTCCAAAAAAATTAAAATATGTTAAGGTTTCAACACATGACATTTTGCTAAATGAGTTGATTACTTGCATGTGAAAATAGCAAAGTCTTACACTACTATGCCAACCTTCTAAGTTACTTACATTTATTTGTGTTGAAAATTTGTTGATAAAACATTAAACAACAAATCATAAAATTAATTTATCTTTCAATTATACATTTAAGTTTCATTTTAAAAAAAAGATTATTTTAATAAGCACTTTCTTTCCTTTATAGTCACACATTTTTTATTTTATAACATGTATCTTTCATTTATAATCAATATTCTTATTCTCTTTATTTAGTTGTCTAATTATAAAAAAAAAGTTTCAAATTTATAAAATTAACACAAAATACAATGAGATATTTATAATCATTAAATCATATTTCACTAATTAACATAATTTTAATTTTTTTATTAAAAGTTTCAAATATATAAATACATATATTTATATATGTAAGGAGACGCTGACTTATGTAAGGAGAATTGGAGTAAAGGTCAAAAAATTAATAATATAAAAGTGAATAATTGAACGTGATGACGATTGAGCAATGTTGAGGATGAATTTTCTTCATTTCTATTGTGCAAAACTACTTAAGATTGTTGAAATGGATCAAATTGATGGAAACCCGATTAGCCTAATTAAAATAAAATATGAGTTAAATTAGACTAACCTAATAATGTAATTCTAGCCAACCCAATTAGAATATCTGAGTCAAAAGTGGATTTGAATTATCATTAACAAGCATTATAAAATTTATACGAGTTTCAAAATTTTAATATTAGAATATTTTAAAAAATTAGTTTAAGTAAAATAAAGCATTTTAATGACACTTTATAATTTTCTTATTATACCTAATGTCATTTAAAGAAGTGTATCACTCTTGAGAGTAAGAGTTCAAATTTGCCCACTTCAAGCTGGGCTGCCTCACTTCAAGTTACAAACTTGTTAGTCCAAGGATTTATTGACTATTTTATTGATCCATTTTTCTTTTTTCTTTTTATTTTCAATTTACCTTACAACCATGTTAATAATATGATAATTAATAACTATGAATATTTATATAAAGTTATTAATTTGCTGTTATGTTTTAATATATGATATGTAATATATTTATAGCATGATAAAACTCATCACAAATGTCTTTTTTTATACATGACTATCGTTCTTATGATTTCATCAGTTTGAGACCATCAAAATAGGCATTTGGCACACTCTCTCTCCATTGCAACCATTAAAAATATAATTAAGAATCAGTGCCTTGGGGGATTGAGAGCAGTAGGTTTAGCTTCCTCCTATGCTTTGTTTTCTGCCGCTGCTCTTCTCAACCAAACACTCACCAACCACCCTTTCCAAAAGTTCAAAATGCTAACCAATCATGATTATACATAAAAAATATAAAATGCTAATCATGGTGTGCCTGACATGAACCCAAGTGACAAAAATCTTGGATCCCACTAGCATAGTACCTAGGTTTTCAAGTGCTGATTGGCCAATGCAAAACCATTATTCATGGCTAATATCCAACGGATCTTTATTCAAATTCAATTTAAACATTGATGTTGAGGGAGTATTCTAAATTAGAATGGTTAATACTACTTTTCCATACTCTTCTTTTCTAAAAATATGAATAAAACCCTGAAATTTAAATTTTGTAATCGATATACAGTAGTTTACTAAGAAGAGTGAATTCTAAATTTCTGTGTGAATCTTATTGAAACTCTGAATCTTCTGTGTCTTTTGTTTATAATGATCTGTTAAAAATATTAAAAAATAAAGAGTGAATTATAAACTTCAAAGATCTATTCAAATTTTTGGACAAAAAAGAGTACCTATAGAATAATTCTCGTTTTTTTGAAAATTCTTGAAAGACCAAAGCACCCAAATTAGAACCATGAAAGGCTTCAAAACAAGTAGTCTATGACTTACAAGCAACTAATTGAATCTTTCTTTCTTTTAAATAATTTTCTAAAATCTGACTGAACCATTCAAAATTGAGAAACCTTGAGACCAATTCCCCAAGCCCCACCAATCATCTTGAGAGAACATGTAAACACATAAATAAAATAAAAAGAAAATCATATATAATATCTCTCCAATAACACTATTATTACTATTTACAAAAAAAGAAGGAAAAACAAAATGGAGAATATTGCTAATACCTAATTCTCCGACAAAAAAACAGAGGAAAAACATAACAGAAAGCAGGGGAAGCAAACAAATCCTCCCTCTGCAACCTGCATACATCTAATCCAAAACCCTGAACCATATTCTAACTCTATGAATCACCAACCGAAATGGGTTGGCCGGAAATTCCCAACGGAGACCGTGAAATTTGCCGGCTTAGTTCCCGGAGAACAGGTCTCATCTCTGGCTTCTCAGGGAACCACTCAACAATTTTTTCTGACTCTTGCTTGATCTTCTTAACCTGGCTGTGAATCGGAACACCATTTTGCGAAAAGCTTCCATCTCTGTTCATCTTCATGTTCTCCATCCTCTGATTCAAGAAAAAATCTTCAATTTTTCAACTTCTAAGAACAGACTTTCCTAGCTTCCCCTGT